CAGAGCTTTAACAGGTCTGTTCTCACAAGAGTCTCAGACAATTTGCAGTGTTGTTAGAAAGCATCGCCCATACATGTTTTCTATGACATTGTTCCGAGATAAATCAGCAACCTAGCTGAGCGATTGTTTCTAACGGTTTGCAAATTGTCAAATACTCTTGTGAGAACAAATCTAGTATCTGATCGTCTCGGCGTTGGCCTAATGACCGTGCTCGATTTACAGTGTTTCCACAACGTATTACAACTGATCGCTGGACTATATTGTCATTCAGTCTTCTTCTGAAGCTATCCTAGCTCGAAGAAGTCCTGACGGATTGTAAATTGCTCTGTGATCTCAAGAAAATTCATGTACCTACCGTTTGAATTTCGAAGTCTTCAGCGACATTCCAGCCATGATCAACACCGTTGTAAATTCAAGTTAAGAGGGTCAGGATGATGCGTTACTCGATCAGGTTCAATGAAGATAGCTTGATTTTATTGAATTTCTGTAGGCTGTCCAAATCTGAGAGAGTTTCAGGTTAAATTTTGCAGTTGAGATCTCTTTAATGTCGTCTTTTAGAAGTTGCTGAGTAAAAGGTAATTTAGTTAAGACAACCTTCATTTTCGCCATGGCCCTCCTGACCTCGATAGTCATGGTATATCAACATCTTCATTGACTCACAGAAAAACTTTTATGATGTCATCTGGGGTGCCCAAACATAATGCAAATCTCCGCATCAGGCACCCCAAATTACGTCATATGTTTCCCATTGCCAGACAACCTATTAGCTTCAGGAACCTTGGCCCAGGTATTATTTTCATCATCTCTGCTACTCCTTCGGCGGTCATTTTGATTTCCTTGTAGTCCTCTATAGTTTTCCAAGTAGAAGTTTCTAACATTGTCCTGTAACCTTCCAGGATATTATTTTCAATAGATGCACTTGGTCGATATGTTTTTCCGTGACGACTACTGACTTGTCGATCGCAAACATCTTGCTGTAGTTGATGCGTATATGTATGTATAGTACGGCCTCTGTTCTTCCTCTATAGAGACTTGATTGAGGCCCTGTAATCTTCTGTAATTCAGGTTGCGTCTCAACAACTTGGTATATTCTTAGTTAGGTACCTACTCTTCTGTTCTTTTAGTCTTCTCGCGACTTGAATCTTCACAGTTGATGTTCCTGGATCAATGTTCTTCAGTCTTTCCTTGCATCTTGGGAATCCATTTCTCCTTTTGTATGTTTTCTCGCAAAGGCCACTGGTGTGACACCTAGAGGGAGGAAATCTGCTGATTGTTTTTTTTTTCTTGGGGCATCTCAGAGACACTTTGACCGCCAGTGCCTTGTTTTCTGCGCTCAAATTATTCACTAATCAATCCCATTCGTTTGTATAAATTTTTCAAAGATTTGTTCCTACCTATTCATAATACATTCCTCATAAAGCCAATAAACTGTAAAATTGAACCACGTCGTGTCGGCAGGTTGTAGCTACATACCGAGGTACTTGTTCTTTGTCTCTATTTGAAAAAAAAAAACTGAGATAGTATGCATGCAAATTATGTTGGTCAGAATGAATTGTTTAGCTCGCACCTTTCTTCGGCCTCCGGGAAGTATTCCAAATATGTTTTCAACTCGAGGCAATTGTCATAAAAATTATAATGCTTGACATTTTCAAAGCTTCTTATTTTTACCGAAGAAAAGCACTAAAAATGGGAAAATTTAACATAACAACTACTGAAGCTAGGAGCTCGAGCCTTTTTTTATTGATTCTTCAGATGGCTTTATTAACAATTATCCATATTAATTTCAACGCCCCTGGCCACTAGCTAGGACTTTATGTTTGAAATACAAATTAGAAAAACACTAAATCATCATTATATGGCCGCAAAAAATAATTTTGTATACAAATGAGGAATTTCACTTTGATTTTTGTCTTAATTCGTCGTTATTTTTCTTGTTAATCGACAATAAGTTAATAAATAATTCCTAAGCGATTTCGCATGAAACAAAGTGTTAAATGGGCATAATCAAATTCTGACATACTAATTTTCGTAAGTTATCGGTTGTTTAAATTAAATTAATGTTCGATAATAGAGACATATGAAATAAGAAAGCTTATTGATTGTTGAAATATTCTAGACAGACAGTTTTTGGTACATATTTTTATAAAAATGAAAATGAAATATGAAAAAGTTTAAATTCTCAAAATTGATTTCTACACATCTACAAACGTGATTTCTCTACAATTTGAAGGAATTGTAGTAAATATTTATCTCCGTCATAACAGAATAACATCATTGAATCAAAAATATCATACAATCGGCTCGTCTAAATACATTAGATACCTTATCGCTACCCTCACGTGCCGACACGTGCCGGATAAGGTGTCTGAAGACGAAGAATGTCCGAAACAAATTCAAGACTTCAACCTGTGGCAGATGTTTCTGGGCAACCCATAGGCGTTTTTTTTTTCAATATATTCATAATTAGATTTGCATAATATCCAGTAATAATAATTGGGTCGAAATTATAATACTAACTGGTAGTTTTTATTCAATTAGGGAGGGAAACATAATTTCTTACAAAGAATGCAAACGAATCAACAGGATCATGACAAACCATTCTGCAGCGGCTTTATGGCTGACAGTTTCGCAAAATGATATTATGCATATATCAAGATTATATTTTGATTTATTTAACTTAATGTACCTCCATGACCACTTTTGCGGCAGAACGCCTACGAAGTTAACTAACTGGAAATCTGCGTGCTTATTAAATAATATCCCCTAATTTACATATTGGAAAATAGATTTTATCTATGTTGAAAAACTCCAGGAATAAAGGTATTCGAATATGTATAATGCCTACCGGTGTCTAACGGAAAATTTTTAATTGCTTTTCTGGTTTTTGTTCAAATTGAATACTGTGTACCTAGAATTTTGATGTCAATATTTTTCCGTTAAACACCGGGAGCTTATATTTTGTGCCTGATGATTAATTTCACGTTTCAGATCCACCCCTGGCTGGTACAAAGGGGTGTTCCATCAAGATAACGGATGGTATGCGGTGGCACGCGACCAAAAGGCAGGTCAGTCCCATTCTTCAGCCTGATGGTCTCTTTTATTTCCTTATGGGTCATCAGACGATCTGGTTCCCTATAGGCTCTTTTGTCTAATATTCGATGGATATTTTTATAATTTTTTTTAATAAATAATGAAGTGTTTTCGTGGTTATTGTGGGATTGTGTCGTGGAATTATGTTGGATAATATTTTTTGAGAAAAAAAGAGGTATTTTTTAAAATTTTAATTTTTGATATTGAGATTCGCTAACATTTTTGTTGCTTTTTAAGATTTTCATTTTTTGGCTTTTCCTTTCCTAGTGTTTGTTTTCTCTTATTTTACAGTTTATAAGTCACCTAGGAGGACCCTGCCCAAATTATACGGAAATTGTGTTTATGTCAGAATTGGCTGAATTTTGTATGTAATGTAGATCACGCCTGTCTAATTAAAAGTTACCATTGCACCAATCCTGAAAAATTACTATACGTAGCACACCACTGCGCTATAAGCTTACCTTGTGTAACATTGTATGTACTTGAACAATAACTTATTATATAAAGTCAGAATTTGTAAGATTATCCACTTTTTGTCAATTTGCCTTTCATCAGGAATTAGTAATGTTATTTTACCAAAATAGTAACATAATGTGACAAGTTATTCAAGTACAAACGAGTGGATTGTTGCGGAATTTATGGGTGGACCTCTGCGGGACGAGCGCAGCGAGTTCCGCAGCCATCTATTTATCAATATGTTAAACTGTTTAATTACGATACTAAACTGACTCACTCAAATCTGCGTTATTCTTATTAGTTTAAAAATTACACGTTTCAGGTGAATGTCTTACTTGAACAGTTCAACAGTATATTGGTGATTAGATGGCTGCGGAACTCGCTGCGCTCGTCCCGCAGAGGTCCACCCATAAGTTCCGCAACAATCCACTTATTTGTACTTGAACAATAACTTATTATATAGAGTTAAAATTTGTAAGATTATGATTATTCACTTTCTGTCAATTTGCCTTTCAACAAGAATTAGTAATGTTACTTCACCGAACTAGTAACATAATGTGACAAGTTATTCAAGTACAAATGAGTGAATTGTTGCGGAACATATGGGTGGACCTCTGCGGGACGAGCGCAGCGAGATCCGCAGCCATCTATTCATCAATATCTTGTTTAATTACGATACTAAACTGACTCACTCAAATGTGCGTTATTATCATTAGTTTAAAAATTACATGTTTCAGATGAATGTCTTACTTGAACAGTTCAACAGTATATTGGTGATTAGATAGCTGCGGAACTCGCTGCGCTCGTCCCGCAGAGGTCCACCCATAAGTTCCGCTACAATCCACTTATTTGTACTTGAACAATAACTTATTATATAAACTCAGAATTTGTAAGATTATCCACTTTTTGTCAATTTGCCTTTTAACAGGAATTAGTAATGTTACTTTACCAAACTAGTAATATATTATGACAAGTTATTCAAGTACAAACGAGTGGATTGTTGCGGAACTTATGGGTGGACCTGGTCATCTATTCACCAATATGTTGTTCAAGTACAATACTAACCTGATTCACTCAGTTGTGAGTTTTTCTCATTAGTTCAAAAACTACACGTTTCAAAAGAGTGTCTTGAACAGTTTAATAGTATATTGGTGAGTAGATGGCTGCGGTCCACCCATAAGTTCCGCAATAATCCACTTATTTGTATGTACGTTCATTACAATGTTCAAGCATTTTACTTGCTACCTATGAAATTAATTTTCTCAAAGAGGAATCATTTTCCAGGATTGGTGCAATGGCAACTTTCAATCAGAAAGGCGTAATGTACATTATATACAAAATTTAGCCAATTCTGACATAAATAAAATCTCCATATACTTTGGGCAGGGTCCTTTGTATTTGATCATCGGTTTTTTCCATTTGCGTCACTCATCATTTTCCAATAATATTTTTAGGATTGTCCATCGAAATTATGGATATAATGAAACCCTTTTACCATTCCTCCGATGGTCGTTTGGATTTGGCTGACCCCAAAGACTACTACTGCCATCAAAACAGACCGTATTCTCCACATTTGTACCAAAGACCCACTTTCAACCATCAACCAGGCTTCATAAAAGTTGAAGATGTTATCAGTATGACCCCAGATTTATATGACAATAATACATATGATTCGTTTATGACAACTTCGTCGTTGTTGTCAGAAGATCGGATAAGTTATGGTAAGTCTTACTTTTGAATCAAGAGATTTTTGGCCTGGGATTTTTGGGCAATGTTAGGGTTCTCTCATACTCAATACTGTTTTAGGTAATTTTAATTTTTTTACATTGAAACGAGATACTAATGATGAAGATAGTAACAACAAAACGAAAGACAAAGATAATAATAATAAGAAATCTGCTGGAAAGAAGAGAAAAAAGTCGGTGAGAGATAGGCCGTCATCGCCAACCATTGTAAAAAGAAGAAGACTAGCCGCTAATGCCAGAGAGAGGCGAAGAATGAATGGGCAAGTAGTTTGAATTTTTACTTACCTAAATCTTTCCGATTATTCTGGGAAATGCGTGAAGCTGTCGGTTATTCTTGAAAACTTTTGATTTTCGTTTGCAATTTAATGGCATTCATTGTTAAGTCATAAGGAAATATATTTTTGTATCTTTTTCAGGCAGGCCAAATATATAGCGTGTAGCACTCTATTAATCCTTTGTCGGCGTAGGATTTTTTTTTTCGAATTCTTAACTTTATCACCTCAAGTTATAATGGCTAATTAGTGGTGAATGTGTATGTACATTGACAGGAAGTTGAGATAAATACTCGGCACTGATTTTTGCCAGTTTCTGATTTGATTTTTTATATAATCTATCAATATATTAGGATATGGGGGTTGTTCAAAAGTTCCTGCATATCCGGACACTGTCGGGCTGCACTACAGACTGTTCTGCCCTTATCAGATCTCTAATCAGACTCTCTCTCTCTCTCAAATTTCTATATTGACCTTATAAGTTGTTTGTTTGCTGCGCTCCAATAAGTCTCCAATTTCTGAGAACCCAAGGTGCAGCTTGTCTTTATCGGTTTATTGGTCATCACTTATCATCTTTTGGAGAACTTTCCTTGTGCCAGATTTACACGCAGATTTCTTTATTATTTTGAGCAGTTGGTGGCTTAGATAGATTGAGATAAGGTTTATTGTTTCTGAGCTTCAGTGGAAAGACTTCCATCAAATTTAATTTAGCTTCTAGATTAATTTCTTCAAATAATTTTTTAATATTCAACAAATAGGCTAGTCATGACATTATCTTTTTCATTGGTGAAATTGTCTTCTGGTTAAGGTCAGATGCCTCAAGACACTATATTGCCTTCACTGCATTGAAAAAGATGCAAACCGCAAGAAAATCTGAGATGTGTTTTCTCGCGTCTCAAATGTTTTGAAACGTTTTTCAAAGCTGGTTTAAAACAGAGTCCCATGACGTCATAACTTCTCGCCGCGAGAAAATGGTTTGAAAACGTGGATTGGATTGTATTTCAAACCGGTTTCAACCAATTGATGTGACGTCATAGGTTCATCGCGAGTTTCAAACCTGTTTTGAACCAGTTTCAGAAAAGTGAACGTGAGAAAACAGCTCAGTTCCTGAGTCATTCATTCATTAATAAAAACATTTTTTTGTTTTTGAATAAATACAAGAAATCTAAAAAAATTGGAGAATTCAAAATTTTGAAAACTGTAGATTTTTCTCAAAGGAGAACTCAGAATGTTAGAGTTTTTGAATATAATTTGGGGTTATGCTATCAGGGGGACTCTTGCGCAGTCTTACTAGTAATCAGAAGAAATCAGGGAAAATCATCCATTTGATTTCCCCTAAAACCGCAATTTGGTGTACAAAAACTTACCTGCGGCTCATGCCTCAGGGGTAAACCGTATGAGGTGTACAAATTAGGGGAAATCAAGAAGAAATCCGAAGAAATCTAAGGCAATCAGAGGAAATCATAAGAAAATCAAAGGAAATAAGGGAAAAACTTAAGGATCTCGGGGAAAATCTTAAAGAAATTATGAGAAATCTTAAGGAAATCAGTCAATCCCTAAATCTAACGCATGCGAATTTTCCAAAAATCTCTATAATTTGAGGTTATGTTATCCGGGGAACTATTGGGCAATCTTACTGGTAATCAGAAGAAATTAGAGGAAACCATGAATTATGGATGATTTCCCATGAAACCGTATTCTAATGTTCAAAAATTGATCTGCGATGCAAACCATCTTTAACACATCCTTATTCTGAGATAAGGTGTAAAACATACAGGCGTGCGGTAATCTATTCTAGAACACTATATTTCTCTAATATTTTAGACCAAAGTAACTCCAATAGAGTAAAGTCTGCATATCATGGTAGCTATTCAAATATTCCATAGACTTATTGATCAAGTTGCAATATTGTCTTGGAGGGGTATTTGAAAAAAAAACTACTTACTACGGATACGAATGGATATACAGACAGGACCAGTTGACTGATACCTATTCCACTACAGGATCGTCACGTTGGATCATTGATCGTCCCTGTATGTTATCAAAATTCGTGCAACTTTCTTCGGCAGCTCGGCTATACTCGGCTTAACCGGGTACTAGCCTGAGGGACTAGCTAATTCGTCTTATTACTCCCTATGTATCTAGTAGGTTGGTCCAGTCTATATAGTTGAATATGTACATCGGATCTCAAAAATTCTTGAAACGTTGATCCAGAGGAGCTTTTCTTCCCCCAAACAACATACCGGTAATATGCTTAATTTCCCACAAAATTGCACCCAAACTCTTTGAAATCCAAATGACCAGCTGATGATAGAAATTTTCATTCGATTTCAGATTAAATGAAGCCTTTGACAGATTACGAAAAGTCGTTCCCAGTCTGGACGCCGAACAGAAACTGAGCAAATTCGAAACGCTACAGATGGCCCAATCCTATATTTCCGCTCTGAAAGACCTTTTAAATTTGAACCGATAATAATATCTGATTAATTTATTGTAGTGATAAGATGTTAGGAAAAGTGAAAATATGTATATTGGTCAAAAGAAAGTACGTATGTAAATTGGTTTTTATTTTTCTAGTCTGAATCCCAAATATTTTTATGTAAACCTTTAAGATACTCAGCATAAAGCGATCTCGAAAAATGTAGGTGAGTACTTACAGTAGAGGTACTTTTATTTTTAAGATTTACATATTAAGGTGAGTGTAAGTGAAAATATTTTGTGATTTATTTACTTTTGTGTATAAATAATAACTAGAGACATTACAAAGTTTTATATATTTTTTGAAGCATATTTCTATAGAAATTTTCATTGTATCCCAGTCAAATAATTATGTAGAATTGAAAATATAAAATACATACCTACATAAATAAATTGATATTTGAAATTATTCTCATTAGTGAGTAGTTTTTCGAAAAACATTTAAGAGTGTTCTCCCAATCGGTCCAGGCATTTGGGCTTGAAATTAATCGACCCATTGGGAGACATCCGTAATTTGTTATGTATGTCATATTATGACGATGAAAGATTAGTAAATAATCAAAGGATCAATCTTAATACATAAATTGTTGGTTAATTATTGTCGAAGCCCTGGAGTTCAGACTCGGTGATGCTTTAATGTGTTCGTTTTCTTATTCCAGAATCCAGTTTCATCATGGAAATGCTTGATCTTATTTCAACTCATTCATTTCGAACACTCCAACATTAACGGTGCCGTTATAAAATAGTAGGTTTTTAGTCGGATACTGCTTTTAACAGACGTTTTCCTAGATCTTCATCGTATCTAGGAACGAAATGACAAAACGACAAAAACAAAAGTGAGCACCTGCTTACCGTGAGATACTTAAAAGGTATAGTTTTTACGAGAAAAAAAATCCACGACAATGCTAATTGAAATTACGAGCAAAATAACATTCTTCTCTGCAACATCGACACGTGTGGCCAAGTGTTTATGTAAGAAGATATTGAAACTGATAACTACCTAATGGGAAATCCGCCAGCATTTGGTTGTTGAGTTCCACAAAGGCTAAACAAATCGAGTCCAAATTAATTTGCCTGTGGATTGTGAAAACAGTCTTAAAATTTTACATAGGCACTTTGAAGCTACATGGAATGGAATTTCTGGATAGGTCTCATACTGTTGAGCACCATCTGCTTACAGTCGATCATCTTCAACTGATTTTTTTTTTTTAAGAAAATTTTTATAAAGATTAACTGTAAAAGATGAACGGTTCATTGCTAAACGAAACCCAATATATCGGTCAGCAGAATTTCAGCAATCCCAAGATATCGCCGAGCCCAACGGTTGGACAGAATTTATGGTTGGACCGGCGATGATTGGTCGATCGGAGCCTAAGCGGACCGTTAGATAACGCGGGAGCCCCCTGTACCAAGAAAATTAATTAATTCCATTTTAGACATCCTCGGGCGCAAACATTTACGCAATGCCTATTTGTTTTGGTAGCTTTGTACCGTGCGTGATTTATACTTATACGCTGCCAGCCAACAGTCTATTTGTTTGGTATGATGAAGAGAAAAAGGTGTGAATAACAATCCAAAGGACTTATTCGGTGATAGGTAATTTTCAATGAAGATATTTTTTTTTTGATTTTGGAAACTGTCAATTTTTCTTAAAAAAGCTACTTTCTTCTGGAACATAGTTGGTAATTAGTCGAAATACAAGTTTTTGTGAAAGGGTCCAATGAAAATCGTTTTTCCTTAAAACTGTCCAAGATGTTAATTTGCACTCGTTAAACGTCATATATGATGATTTAGTTGGGAAACTATTCAGATTTCAAACCAATTGGTTAAATATAAAAGAAGTTACTCGGAGTAGTAAAGTCAAGTTTACTCTAAAATCAATAAACTGCCAACCCACTGGTTTTTGTCGCTAATTAACTTAGGTGCTACCTAACACCACTATTTCCCATTTGATTGGTTAGCGATTGTGTTTTGGCCGCACCTCTACATCACAAATATTAATTATTCAATATGCGTAATGGGAAAAATCTATTGTCCACGATAGCCAACGGTTAGCTGCTTGGCCAATAAAAATTTAATAGAGATTTTATTGAACCGGTGAATTTCTATTGAAGCCTGTCCATGGAAATTTTGAATCGTTTTGTCCCATGAATAAGAAAGTATTATTGTACTATAGTAGTGTATATAATATGATATGATTTTTCCAAGATTTTAGAAATCTATCTTCAAAAATCCCTACCCTTACCTCATCAGTAAAAAAATGTTGAAACTTTAATTTATTTCCATGTTGAGATTTTGACTTTGAATGATCATTTGCGACTGTCCAAGCTCAATACTCCGAATCATTATGAAATTTGAAGTGAAAATGATTGGAAAAAAGAGCAGAAGAAAAATTGGAAAATGTTTAAAAAAATCCTTTTCCCAGGGCCCAGGGGGCAAGAATTCTCTCATAAAAGTGTCAAATACACATCGGAGAAACCAAATGTGTTTATTGCTTAACCTCTGCCCCTCCTG